TACCCTAGCTTGCAAACTCACTCCCAGGATTGAAGAATTTAAGAAAAAAAAATTTATCTTATGAAATGGGAGAGAATCTTTTTCCAAAGGTAATGAAACCAAAAGTATGAAATTTGATGTAAAACTTACAGAATTACATTCTTGCAAAGTTAGTGGTCATGGTGATATTTACACATCAGCGATTTCGCCTACTCTATGCTCTATTTTTGGCCAATTCCATTTTTCTAGTCAACCAAACTCATCTATTTTGCTAATATTCCTTCTATTCTATCGAACGAGTACAGAAACCACCCATTTACCTATTTCAACTACGCAATAAAGTGATCAGAAATTAGTAATTTAGCCAATTTCACACCAAATTTAACAATTCCCAATTTGAAAACAGGGTCCAGACTAAACAATGTAGACATTCCTGGTACTAAAACAAACATTTCCTCTGTTCCTTAGTCATGTCTCAAGGCCCCTCTTATATTACACTTCATTTTCATTTTGAATTTTTATTCACACACACACAAAAAAAAAATTACTTTTATGCAGCCTACTGCATTATTGTAATAATTGTACAAGTAATGTCAGTGCATTCCTAAATGCAAATTAGACTGGCCAGTTGGACGCATACTGGACAAGTGACATTTTTTGTGTACTCCAGAATATTGGCAAAAATCAAACATTTCCATTTTTTTTAACTCAATTTCAAGCTACTTCCAGCCTTGAAACTAATCAAAATTATCTCTGTTTTTGTAATTTATTTTCCATTCTGTCAAATGAGACCAAGAAACCAAGCATATAACCATAAAACCCATATGAAAATACACCGCAAATTTGCTGTTTTAAACTAAAAACATGGTTGCAGTTTTTTCTCATTATGCACTGTGTGCTGCAGGATTTTTTCTTATATTGTGCACACTTACTGCATAGACCTATTCTCTCATATCTAGGTCCAAATTTACAGGTCACAGCTTATATGAGCTCATGGCGTCATACTATGAGACCAACACTGGCTTCAAAGCCGTGATACAACGGGACCGACACTGAAAGGGTTAATGTGTTTCCTCACATGTGAATTCCACACTGGTGTTGCCTACTCCAAGATGGGCCTCAAATGACTTTCAAGATTCCTGAAGCATATGCTTAAGATCTGTCAGAGAAGCACTGGCTGCAGAGGTTATTCAGCTGATGTGAACCTCTGGGGATATACTAAACACTGCTCACTCATAGGTATTTCGAAGTATAAAATCTGTAGCCCCTGTCCTGTCTTCTTGCCCCTTCCCCAGTCTTTGTAACCTTGCATTTGCTGGGGTTATATTCAAGTGACCACTTATCCAACCAATCATGCAGGTTGTCCAGATCCATTTGAAGCCTCTCTTCCCCCATTTTCATTCTCATCATTAGTTTTACAACAGAAAACAAGGATTCATCTGGTACAACCCCATCTGAACTGTCATTCATATAAACATGAAACTGTACCAGTACTAACACCATCTTTGTGAAACCTAGCTTGTTACTCTTCCCCATTCTGTCTCTTTGCTGATAATCAGTTTCCTTACCCTAAAGTACTCTGATTCACCAGAGTACATTTCCTGTTATTCTTGCCTGTACCTCCAGTTTTTACCCCAGTTTTGTGAGGTACCTAACCACATAACCCACTCTTTTGTCACATGTCTGTTACTTAGTCAGACCTCCAATAGGCTGTTAAGACAAGATTTGCTATCTCTGAAACCATGCTGGTTATTATTCATGAAACCACATCTCTATAAGTGTTTCAGCACTCTCCTCCTCAATTTTCTCCAGATGTACACACCTATATGTGGTTGCACGGGTAGTCTTAGCTCCTGGCCCTGCCTCTCAATTTGCCACTTGTCAGATTCACTCTTGTAGCCTAGGGGCTCTATCATACCTATTCTTAAATCTACATATGTATGGAGTCTGCCTCCACCACTTCTTCGTTGAGCACACACCACTTCCCAGCCACTGAAATTGATGCATCCCCTGGTCGTTCTGTCCTCCAGGGTTATTAGATTCAATTCTTTTAGCCTTTCCTCAAAGCTCATACATATATGCATGTGTATGTGCCTGTGTGTATATGTGCATGTGCAAGTGTGTAAATATGCATGTGCAAGTGTGTGTAAATATGTACATACTTTGCATGAACTAGCCAGTCATAGTGGCCAGGCCCATAAAATGCATTGGTGCTTTTGGAGTATGGGAAAATGGTTATATAAGAATGTTCATTAATCTTAATGCCTAAGAATTTTCATGAATTGTTGTGCCATTTTAGATACTCTCCTGAATTTCCGTTGAACAACTCATTCCATTTCCCCACAGAACAGCATAAAGCTGTGAAGTTGCATTTACATCCTCACATATGTTTGAACTACCATTGTTAAAAAAATCTGTCTGACCATGTTAAGGATTGAATAGGACACAGTAAATGATTTAGATTATTTCAGATAACTGAGAAATGTTTAAGTTTTACATTACACAGTTACTCAAGACTTTTTTTTTTTTTTTTAAGAATACAAATTTGCAAACACAATCTTAAAATAAATTAATATTTACTCTTGTCCCCAGCTACTCATCTCCTGCAGAGAAAGCAGGCTAGCACATGCAGAATCTCTCATTATTGTATCTCCAAAGCTGTTCAACTTATTTCTTAGTGTAGCAAAGCCTTTCAACAACAAAAGTATCTACCAAGAAATTCTGCATGTGTGACAAATAAGTGAGGAATGCTGCATTGCTCAAAAAAGATAAGTAATGCCAATAATAAAAATAACTAGTTAAACCCAACAAAGTAGGTGAACTATCAAGAATAAGAAATTGTACACTTAATAGAAAAATGACATTCATAAGAATATGACAAAGAATGTAAGTGTAGAAGGTTATCTGCAGAGTAAATGTGATAACAGAAGACAAAAGGTACAAACAATATAATGCCTCCTAAAACACTTGCCACAGGGAAGTAAATATAAAAGAGGAAGCTTAATAGAGCAAGAACCAATGATTTTTATTTTTATTTAGATACTTGTTAACACTGTTTATGAAAGATTGAAAGTCAATAATGAAGAATGTTTTCTAAATATTCACTATTTCATCATAAATGAAAGGGAGGAAAAATGTTTTCTTAATATTCACTATGCTGAAATGTGCTGAACGGGAAGAGACAAAAATCAGACAGAGTCAAGGAAATGAAATACAAATCTGATATGTAAAGGTAAAGTACCTTATGTGTCAAAGTAATGTGAAGTAAAATATAAAGGAGAGGAAATATTTTTCAATGCAGCATATGTAAGTGAGATATACTTGAGTCTTGACCAAGCATGGTATGTGTAATACTACAAATGAATATCTTATGCTGCAAAGGGTAAGTGACAGGCTGATGTGTGGTGAAGTGAGATATGATTGGTGAGGGGTGAAGGTGATAAAGAGCAGCAAGCGAGCGACACCACCTGCTGGGTAGGTCCCTGGCACTTACGGGACCACGGCTGCGATGCTGCCACGAGTGCGCTGCCACACCACGCCAATCTCAGACAAGAGAGTGATCGGCGACACCTATGTAACTAACAGAGAGGCACCGCATTTTGGGGGTTTATTGGTGGGATGCATTAAGCATCCCGGGCTTCCTAAATCTTGCACATGCACAATGGCAATGGCATGAGAATGGTACAAGGGAGACCTGGGATGGCCAGCCTGATAATGGCACAACCCAGATCTCCAACCACAAAACAGGGCAACCACCCTCATGAAATGATTGAGAAAGCCCACATGATCAAGATCATAGGCAACACATGCTTATTCAAAGTAGGAAAGATATTTACCGGTTCATAAATTAAAAAGTTTGCTAAGTAACTGAAAATCTCAATACTGCTTACTGACAACTGACTGCATGTGTTAGCCCCATCTAGTGAGGATGCAGCCTGATGTGGTCTGCATACACACCAGGATATGAGAGGGGGATGTTAGTGGCCCCATCCCTGCCTCAACTACCCACCTCCAGAGCCTCCACCCTCCACCAGCAGCAGCACGGCCAATAACGTAGCACTCTCAGTATCCAAGGAAGGGCAGACTATACAACTTTGATGCCAGTTGATGGTTGGCTTTAAGTTTGAAAAAAGTACTAACTAATCAATTTCAGCAAGAAGTCTCAATATGATAAAAGGGGGGTCAGCTGGTGAACTTTCAAGTCATGCCCACAGATTAAAAAAAAAAAAAGTGAATGTCAGAAATGAAAGTTGAACTGGAATCAAAGTTGTCACAAGTTGGCACAATGATGCACTATGGACTAGCAGTCTGCCCTTACAAGAGGGTGTAGCTGGACTATGACGCCCAAGTGAGCACAGACTGGGCGCCAAAGGACCATAAACACCTGCTGCCTTCTCTAGTGACATGAGGTTGCAGTGTTGAGCCCTGAGTCCTCCCAACCCAAATTGAGAAAAGTTTCCCTTGGCAAGGCTCTGGAGGAGAATAGACGAGACTAAACATGTGCTGGTGATTAATGAAGCTGGTCTACCTGCCTGATGCTCTTCTGACAAGCAGCATTAACAGCAAATTCTAAACTTTATTTCCTCACAAAAATGCAAGGTGTTAAAAATACAATTTTTTTATTAAACTTTAAAATCAAGCAGGTAATCAAGGAAAGAGAAGGCATTTTTCTGGTATCTGATATTTACTGTATTGTACTTAAAATAATGCATATAATAATAATTAATCTTCAAGTTTTTGCTCTTCAGTAAGGAGAATAAGGATTTTTAACAAATTTATGACAAGCTATTGGGTTGAATACCAAACAAAAAATGGGGAATGACAGGTAAGGGCTTACAAGGGGCAATACACAAATGAAGAGCTTTATTTTATTATTGCACAAAAACATTCAAACATCTGCTGGTAATCTTTTCAAGGTATGTATCAGCATGATGATGATCCTCTCCCTTCCCTTGAATGGGCCAGCACGGATGATTTCAAGCAAGACACATGACAGCCACCATAGCTGCCACACTACTTACCCTTCTTGATCACGAGCGGCACATATGTCAGGCTGTGAGATTCTGAAGTTTTGCCACCAGATGACACCATAACATCCACTGTCACCTCCTCTGTTATTGATTGATCGTAATACTTGGGAACCATCACAATTAAGTGAATCTGCAGCAAGAATAGAACATTAACAGACTTAACCTTTTGAGGGTCCATCACGTAGTTCTACGGCTTTGAAGCCTGGGCCAAGCTGTAGAACTATGGCATGAGCTCAGCTCACTCAGATAAGCTGTAAGTGGTAAACCTGGGCCTAGATATGATATAATATACCTATGTGGTAAGTGTGCACCACATAAAACAAATACTGCAGCACAGTGCATGATGAGGGAAAAAACTCCATCCGTATCTTTGGATTCAAACAGCGACTTTGCAGTCTTTTTTCGTATGCTTTTTACAGTTGTATTCATGATTTCTTGGTCTCATTTGATAGAATAGAAGATATATTATAGAAATAGCGATGATTCTGATTGATTTTAGTAACGAAATGGCTTGAAACTGAGCTCAATTTAGCAGAAACGTTCAATTTTTGCTGAAGTTCAAGAGTAAACAAAAGACGTCACGTGTCTAATACACGCCAGCTGGTGGGTCTAATATATGTTCATGAATGAGTAGGGTAATATTTAGTGAAGGGATTCAGGGAAACCGGTTATTTTCATATAGTCCTGGAAATGGGAAGTACAATGCCTGCACTTTAAAGGAGTGGTTTGGGATATTGGCAGTTTGGAGGGATATGTTGTGTATCTTTATATGTATATGCTTCTAAACTGTTGTATTCTGGGCACCTCTGCAAAAGCAGTGATAATGTGCAAGTGTGGTGAAAGTGTTGAATGATGATGAAAGTATTTTCTTTTTGGGGATTTTCTTTCTTTTTTGGGTCACCCTGCCTCGGTGGGAGACGACCGACTTGTTGAAAAAAAAAAACAAAAAAAAAAAAAAAAAGAATGTGCTGATACTATTTATATAATTATTACAATATTGCATAACAGTAAATCTTCTATTTTTTGGTGTGGATAAAAATTCATTATGTGAATAAAAATAGAATTCAGTTGCAAAGCCTGAAAACGTAGCTAATAAACAGAGGATATGTTAGTTTAGTGCCAGGAATCCCTGCATTATTTATTCTGGACAATAATTTGAAATTCGAATATTCTGAATTTTTTGTTAAATTGGCCGAATTACCAATTTCCAATCACATATTGGGTAGATGAAACAGTTGACTGGGCAATTTCTTGTGCTCAATTGATAAAATAGAACTAATACTAGCGAAATAGCTAAGAATTTGGTCGACTGGAATAATGTAGTTGGCCTAAAATGGGAGTCTAAGTCTGCAAAATCGCAATGCGTAAATATCACTGATGCAGCAAAATTCACGAGAGTTTAACTTCGTCAATTTTCCACCAAATTTCGTACTTTTTGTTTTATTACCTTCAGAAAAAGATTCTCTACCATTTCATAAGAAAAAAATAAAAAAAATTTTTTTTTAAATTCTTGGACCCTGGCTGTCACTCTGAGATTTGGCCTATGGACCCTCAAAGGGTTAATATCAACAAAGAATGTCTTTAAATACTCTGCATAAAATTTTTAATTTATATAGACAAGGATAATACCTACCTATGCCATCTATATCTAAGTGTGTATTGCTAAAGCTAATCAATGTCATGTGGACAATTAGGTGCATACTAACCATCACAGCTTAACCCTTTCACTGTCCATACCCTTGATCTGAAACTTGTCCACACCATCCAAGAATTAAAAAAAAAAATTGTACATAGTATTAGTAGACTAAAGCAGTAAAAAATGAAAAAAAAAATATTTGCTCTAATTTATATTGTATATTACAAGTGGAACAATGTTGGGGTTATCACTTCCCCCAAGTTTGAAGTATTAAAACACACTGCAATACATCTACTATTAGAAACAGTGTACTAAATATTTAGTGTTAAACATTAAAAAAAAAAAATCATAACTGGCAACACACTCACACTAAACGACTCGTCAAGTCCCAAAAACTATTCGTCTTCGTTCACTCCTATCAAAAACACTCACACCTGCCTGCTGCATTCCCAAGCCCCTTGCGCACAAAACCTCTTTTATCCCCTCCCTCCATCCTTTCCTAGGATGACCCCTACCCCTCCTCCCCTTCACTACAGATGTATACACCCGCCAAGTTATCCTATTTTGTATCACCCTCTCTAAATGACCAAACCACCTCAACAACCCCTCCTCAACCCTATGAATAACACTTTTAGTAATTCCACACCTCCTCCTAATTTTCACACTACGAGTTCTCGGCATAGTATTTATACCACATATTGACCTTAGACATGACATCTCCACTGCCTCCAGCCTCCTCCTTGTTGCAACATTTACAATCCGTGCTTCACACCCATATAAAAGTGCTGGTACCACTATACTCTCATACATTTCCTTCTTTGCCTCCATGCAGCATTTATACTCTTGGTTGTGCTGGCAAGTGACCATTTTTTTGCCAACTTCAAGACCGTAAAAATCTCAAGTTCTTATTGGATACCACTCATTTTAGTGTTATTCAATTCATAAAAATGTACTCCTTCAAGCTGTATAAAAAAAAAAATCTTGCCCTAAGCACACAGGAATTTTAATTTCTGGGAATGCCACTGTTAAGGGGTAAATAGTTTATAGATGTCATTGGTGTGATCACCAAAATATTAAAATTATTCATCAACTAAATTTAGCACTCCCTACTTTACAATTTTTGAGATTGAATTAGATTACAGAGTACATCAAACGTACAGACTGGAGAGTCTCCTTGTCCGGTGCAACTTTCTCCTCCCATATTGGTTGTGACTTGGTGCCATTTTGTTGGAAGATGACCAATGTATCTTTTAGGAAGTTTTTGCCGAAGATGAACATTTCCTCTCCCCCCGTCACAGAGCATTTTGACAAAGATTTGCGACAGATTTCTGGTACCCCTGGTGGCTGAGCTGTTGGAAGAACATATTAGCCTTAAAACAAGTAATTTATATTGGTAAGAAACAAATATGATATCTAAACTGTCATATCTGGGCACCTCTGCAAAGCCAGTGATTGTGTGTGAATGATGGTGAAAGTGTTGAATGATGATGAGAGTGTGTTTCTTTATGGGCCATCCTGCCTCAGTGTGAGATGGCTGACGTGTTGAAAGAAGAGAGATGTTTTTGGTTGTCTCCCACCAAGGCAGGGTGACCCAAAAAAGAAGAAACATAAGTTTTTCTTCTTTGTCAATTTAGTAATTTATACAGGAAAAGGGGTAAATGTAACTGGGGGGCCTTTAATTGAGCTATGTGTAGAAAGAAGTTTGGTAATAAGTAATACGTATTTTACGAAAAAGAGGATAAATAAATATACAAGGTATGATGTAGCACGTAATGAAAGTAGTTTGTTAGATTTTGTATTGGTGGATAAAAGGTTGATGGGTAGGCTCCAGGATGTACATGTTTATAGAGGGGCAACTAATATATCGGATTATTACAGTGGACCCTCGACCAACGATGGTATCAATTAACGATAAATCCGACTAGCGATACATTTTAAGGCAAAAATTTTGCCTCAACTAGCGCTAAAAAACTCGACCAACACTATTTGTTCCGTCTGAGACGCGTCCACTTCTGGCCAGTGTTTACAAGCCAGCCAGCCACCGCGGTCGCTTCCAAGCATGCAATCGGAACATTTCATATTATCACAGCCTTTTTAGTGATTGCACCTGCAAAATAATTCACCATGGGCCCCAAGAAAGCTTCTAGTGCCAACCCTACAGCAAAAAGGGTGAGAATTAGTATGGATATGAAGAAAGAGATCATTGCTAAGTATGAAAGTGGAGTGCGTGTCTCCGAGCTGGCCAGGTTGTACACAAAACCCCAATCAACCATCGCTACTATTGTGGGCAAGAAAACGGCAATCAAGGAAGCTGTTCTTGCCAAAGGTGCAACTATGTTTTTGAAACTGAGATCGCAAGTACTCGAAGATGTTGAGAGACTGTTATTGGTTTGGATAAACGAAAAACAGATAGCAGGAGATAGCATCTCTCAAGCGATCATATGTGAAAAGGCTAGGAAGTTGCATGACGATTTAATTAAAAAAATGCCAGCAACTAGTGGTGATGTGAGTGAATTTAAGGCCAGCAAAGGTTGGTTTGAGAGATTTAAAGGGAAGGGAAGTAACCCCGGAAAAGGACTTGCCACCTCAAGTCCTAATGGAAGGGGATTCCCCTTCTAAACACTAAGACCATCAACACTCTCCCCTCCTCCCATCCCATCAATCATCACCAGATCTTCAATAAAGGTAAGTGTCATGTAACTGTGCATGTCTTCTTCAGTTTGTGTGTATTAAAATTAATATTTCATGTGGTAAAAACAATTTTTTTTTCATACTTTGGGGTGTCCTACACGGATTAATTTGATTTACATTATTTCTTATGGGGAAAATTAACTTGACTAACGATAATTTTGACTAACGATGAGCTTTCAGGAACAGATTAATAGCGTTAGTCGAGGGTCCACTGTATTTAGTTGTAGCTACAGTTAGAGTAAGAGGTAGATGGGACAGGAGGAAAATGGCAACAACAAGTAAGAGGGAGGTGAAAGTGTATAAACTAAGGAAGGAGGAAGTTCGGGTGAGATATAAGCAACTATTGACAGAAAGGTGGGCTAGTGGAAGTATGAGTAGTGGGGGGGGGGTTGAAGAGGGTTGAAATAGTTTTAAAAATGTAGTATTAGAATGTGGAGAAGTTTGTGGTTATAGGAGGGTGGGGGCAGGAGGAAGAAGGAATGATTGGTGGAATGATGAAGTAAAAGTAAACAAGAAAAAGGTAGCATATGAGAGGTTTTTACAAAGCAGAAGTGTTATAAGAAGAGCAGAATATATGGAGAGTAAAAGAAAGGTGAAGAGAGTGGTGAGAGAGTGCAAAAGGAGAGCAGATGATAGAGTGGGAGAGGCACTGTCAAGAAATTTTAATGAAAATAAGAAAATTTTTTTGAGTTAAACAAGTTAAGAAAGCCTAGGGAATGAATGGATTAATCAGTTAAAAACAGAGTAGGGGAGTTAGTAGATGGGGAGATGGAGGTATTCTGAGCACCTCTGCAAAAACAGTGATTATGTGTGAGTGAGGTAAAAGTGTTGAATGATGATGAAAATATTTTCTTTTTGGGGATTTTCTTTCTTTTTGGGTCACCCTGCCTCGGTGGGAGACGGCCGACTTGTTAAAAAAAAAAAAAAAATTATGCAACAAAACCAAATAGGGGTATAAACTTTTTTAAATTCAACCCATATGCTATAACCTAAATTAACATACCAGAAAGGGAAGAAAAAATGAGAACTCCAATAACTGGAGTTTCCTCAGCCACAAACAATTATATAATTACTCCAATGAATTCACTTTTAACCAGCAGAAACTAATTATTGAAAAGTGAACACAAGCACTTTGAATTCATGACTTTGTTAGTAAAATGTAAACATCCTTGCAAAAATAAATGAAAAATCTAAGGTGGCAAATAGTCCTGTTAAGTGCAAAGGTACCAGTCATAATAGGCTGTATTCAAATACAGTACAGTACCGTATTAAAGAATATTATATGAAAATGACAATTACCGTATTATACATAAAAAGTTTTAAGTAACTGAACAATTTATCTGACTAACTATAATATTAAATGCAAGTTGACTCTTATATAACAACTAAAAACCAACAAGTACATTTAAAATAATTGAAATATGAGGTACTGATGATTACTTACTACAAGCAATGGGCTGTGAGACAACCTGCAGGGTCTCTCTGGTACCATCTGAAAGAGTGACAAATGTGCGGAATACTAGTCGACACTTTGTGCTTTTCTTGCGACCTCGTGATACTGCTGCCTTGAACCTGTGCTCCACATCCACATTGCGCTCTTTTAAGATGCCTACACAGTCACAGCTGTTTATAAAAAAAAATTTATTAGTCATTTCAGAAATTTCTACTTCAATTTTGATCAATTTCCTATTTTACAATCATAAAATAGCAACTTTTATGCTTGCTGGACTTCCAGCATGCATGCGTGATGTATTTGATAGGAGTGAATGGAGACAAATGGTTGTTAATACTTGATGTGCTGTTGGAGTGCGAGTAACCTAACATTTATGAAGGGATTCAGGGAAACCAGCAGGCTGGACTTGAGTTCTGGAGATGGGAAGTACAGTGTTCGCACTCTGAAGAAGGGGTGTTATGTTGCAGTGTTATAACTGTAGTGTAAGCACACCTCTGGCAAGACAGTGATAGAGTGAATGATGATGAAAGTTTTTCTTTTCAGGCCACCTTGCCTTGGTGGGAATCAGCTGTGTGTTAATAATAAAAATAATAATAATAATAAAAATAATAATAATTTTAATAAAATAAAAATTTAAAAAGCAACCCCTCACTTAAAATTATGTATTTTAAATTATTTTTTACCCCAAACTTCTAAAAATTTTTTCCCCTTTTCCCAGTTCCTTTTTGAACAAAATTTCCTAACAAATTCTTTTTTTTATATATCTGAAAAAACCCTTTGGATTATTGGTACAATACTGAACATTTATATTATCCTTACTTTCTGGAAGAAAAGATTCCTGCCATCAAAATATTTAAACATTTATTACAACCATTACTTGAAATTTAAAATTCAGCACATTGGTCCCAAAAGTTATGATTTTAACGTGAAGCTGCGAAAAAATATTTCTCTGTTTTGTATCATTTAGGAAAATAATTTGAAAAATTAGGTAAAAAAATTTTGGGAAAAAAGGCCCTGTTTTAAAAAAAAAAAAATTAATACAGTGACAGTGTGAATGTGGTGAATGTTTCTTTTTGAGTCCCCCTGCCTCAGTGGGAGAGGGCCTTGTTTAAAAAAATCATGTAAAATTAAAAAAATTAATAATAAAAATCAAATGAGACAAAAAACCCGCACATAAAAAGAGGGGTTCAACGATGTTTCGTCGACTTTGGGCCCATTTACAAAGTCACATAACGAAAAAAAAGGGGGGGGGGTTTAAAATTGGCGGGGTGGTGGGGGGTTTGGGGGGTGGGGTATGTGTGTGTAGGTGTGTGTGTGGGGTGTTTTTGTGGGGGGTGGTGTGTAAAGGTGGGTTGTGGGGGGTGTGTGTGTGTGGTTGGTGGTTGTGTGGGTGGGGGGTGTGGGGGTGTTTTGGGTGGTGTGTTGGGTGGTAGTGTGGGTTTGTTGTGGGTGGTTGGGGGTTGGAAGGTGTGTGTTTGGGGGGTTTGTGTGTGTGAAAGGGGTGTGTGGGTGTGTGTTTGGGGGTGTGTGTGGGTGTTTGTGTGTGTGTGTGTGGGTGTTGTGTGTGGGTGTGTGTGTGTGGGTGTGTAGTGGGTTGTTGGGGTGTGTGGGTGTGTGTGGGTTGTGTGTGGGTGTTAGTGGGTGTGTGTGGGGGTGTGTGTGGGTTGTGTGGGTGTGGAAAAGGGGTGTGGGTGTAGTGTTAGAAGGTAGAGAAGGTGTGTAGAAGGTAGTAGAAGGTGTAGTAGAAGGTAGTAGAAGGTGAAATGTAGTAGTAGTAGTAGAAGGTAGTAGTGTAAAAGGAGTAGTGTAGAAGTTGTTGTAGGAAAGTAGTAGTGAAGGTAGTAGGTAGTAGTAGTAGTAGAAGGGTAGTAGTAGAAGGTTAGTAGGTAGTAGTAGTAGTAGTAGTAGAAGGTGGAGTAGTAGGTAGTAGTAGTGTAGTAGTAGTAGTAGAAGGTAGTAGTAGTTAGTTAGAAGGTAGTTAGTAGTAGTAGTAGTAGTAGTAGTAGAAGGTAGTAGTAGTAGAAGGTAGTAGTAGAAGGTAGTAGTAGAAGGTAGTAGTAGAAGGTAGTAGTAGTAGAAGGTGGTAGTAGTAGTAGTAGAAGGTAGTAGTAGAAGGTAGTAGTAGTAGAAGGTAGTGGTAGTAGTAGTAGAAGGTAGTGGTAGTAGTAGTAGTAGTAGAAGTAGAAGGTGGTAGTATTAGTAGAAGGTAGTGTAGAAGGTAGTAGTAGAAGGTAGTAGTAGTAGAAGGTAGTAGCAGTAGAAGGTAGTAGTAGTAGAAGGTAGTAGTAGTAGTAGTAGTAAAGGTAGTAGTAGAAGGTAGTAGTAGTAGTAGAAGGTAGTAGTAGTAGTAGAAGGTAGTAGTAGAAGGTAGTAGTAATAGTAGAAGGTAGTAGTAGTAGTAGAAGGTAGTAGTAGTAGTAGAAGGTAGTAGTAGTAGTAGAAGATAGTAGTAGTAGAAGGTAGTAGTAGTAGTAGAAGGTAGTAGTAGTAGTAGAAGGTAGTAGTAGTAGTAGAAGGTAGTAGTAGTAGAAGGTAGTAGTAGTAGAAGGTAGTGGTAGTAGAAGGTAGTGGTAGTAGAAGGTAGTAGTAGTAGAAGGTAGTAGTAGTAGAAGGTAGAAGTAGAAGGTAGTAGTAGTAGTAGTAGTAGTAGTAGTAGAAAGTAGAAGGTAGTAGTAGTAGTAGAAGGTAGTAGTAGAAGAAGGTAGTAGTAGTAGTAGAAGGCAGTAGTAGTAGAAGGTAGTAGTAGTAGAAGGTAGTAGTCACAATATAAGATTATAATCTTGACCCTGAGTTACCCCTCTTAATGCTTTAGTTTACTGCCAAGTTACTAGATCCTCTGCAGGGAATTATAGAATAAAACTAAGTTTATATTTCCTGTTCAAGTATCTCAGTGTTGCAATCCAGAGGGGTAATGCTTGCATATATGATTAAGCACATGATCAAGCTGAGGAAATGCTCAAGACAAATAGTGCAGTTAATTTTAATTGTGTTTAAAATGCCATGCATTAAATGCCTACATTTGCAATTTACTGTGCTTAAGGGAGATTCTAAAGAAAAATTGCAAAGTTAGTGGACGAGTTTGGGAGTGTGTAAAGGTAGAAAGTTGAAAGTGAACATAGAAAAGAGTAAGGTGATGAGGGTATCAAATGATTTAGATAAAGAAAAATTGGATATCAAATTGGGGAGGAGAAGTATGGAAGAAGTGAATGTTTTCAGACATTTGGGAGTTGACGTGTCGGCAGATGGATTTATGAAGGATGAAGTTAATCGTAGAATTGATGAAGGAAAAAAGGCGAGTGGTGCGTTGAGGTATATGTGGAGACAAAAAACGTTATCTATGGAGGCAAAGAAGGGAATGTATGAAAGTATAGTAGTACCAACACTCTTATATGGGTGTGAAGCTTGGGTTGTAAATGCTGCAGCGAGGAGGCGGTTGGAGGCAGTGGAGATGTCCTGTCTAAGGGCAATGTGTGGTGCAAATATTATGCAGAAAATTCGGAGTGTGGAAATTAGGAGGTGTGGAGTTAATAAAAGTATTAGTCAGAGGGCTGAAGAGGGGTTGTTGAGGTGGTTTGGTCATTTAGAGAGAATGGATCAAAGTAGAATGACATGGAGAGTGTATAAATCTGTAGGGGAAGGAAGGCGGGGTAAGGGTCATTCTTGAAAAGGTTGGAGGGAGGAGGTAAAGGAGGTTTTGTGGGCGAAGGGCTTGGACTTCCAGCAAGCGTGCGTGAGCGTCTTAGATAGGAGCGAATGGAGACGAATGGTATTTGCGACCTGACAAGCTGTTGGAGTGTGAGCAGGGTAATGTTTAGTGAAGGAATTCAGGGAAACCGGTTATTTTTATATAGCCGGACTTGAGTCCTGGAAATGGGAAGTACAATGCTTGCACTTTAAAGGAGGGGTTTGGGATATTGGCAGTTTGGAGGGATATGTTGTGTATCTTTATACGTATATGCTTCTAAGCTGTTGTATTCTGAGCACCTCTACAAAAACAGTGATTATGTGTGAGTGAGGTGAAAGTGTTGAATGATGATGAAAGTATTTTCTTTTTGGGGATTTTCTTTCTTTTTGGGTCACCCTGCCTCGGTGGGAGACTGCCGACTTGTTGAAAAAAAAAAAATGCATTTCACTGAATTTTGGCCCACTTTAAAAAAGGAGGGGGGGATGATGAGCCCTCCCATGGACTATTTGTACAATAACATGAAAATTAAAGTTTCTACCCTTGATGCCTTTGACTCAGCAGGGTTACACTTTATAAATAATACTATTACATGCTACAAATTTCATGATAAAACTTTACATATACCATTTACCAAAGAAAAAGAAATTTCCATCACTTAAGTGGCCTGAAAAAATGGAATAAAAAAAAAAAAAAGGAACAGATGAACAAGATAAATTAATGCTACAATCAAACTCCTAAATTCATTAGATTTGATTATCTAGTGGTGGCTATTTTTTTTCAGGGTTGTTGCACGAGCCTTAAACTGATAACTTGCCAGAGGACCTCAAAATGTATTCAATTGTTTTCCCACACCCAAATCACTATGTTCACTCTTTCTTGTGAATCTCAAAATTACTTAGGTAAGGGTGATATTTAAAGAGAAATGTTCAATAAAACCAGAATGAGTCCAAACCTGAAATAAAATTTATTATGAAAACAATTTTGTACTATTCACAGGTCTTAGATTACAGTAAGTTCTAAGTTCACGTCACTTCATTATAATACTGATGAAAAAAAAACTGATTCCCAGCCGGGGCCACTGTCTGTGGCCCCGGCATATTCGTTTTTGAGCTGCGTGGTGGTAGGAGAGGTTCTTTACAGTTTTCGCCTTGCAAACATTTATTCCTTGATTTAACCTGTTACAATGAGTGCTAAATGTGCACCCCTGGTGTTTATATCAATTAAGCTACCTATCGATGACATTAAGTGAGGACTTACCTTATCAGGTAGTATTTAGGAGTATAAAACCTGTGAATCTGGAATTTAACTGTAAACTGATTCAAATATCTACATATAGCAAATTAAAATAACAAAGCAACATACCTCATGGTCATGTCTGTTTCAGGGTTGAGAGAAGCCTCAATCAAGGCAGTGCCATCAAGTCTCCGTTCTTTACATGGTGTTGAGTTTTTGCCACTGACTCGACAAACTTGGTAGAACATGTGTGGTCCTATCTTCTCTGAATCACACCCAACAAAAACTTGCACCACTGTAGATTTATTATAGCCAATCAACTGAAATAAAAGTTTATACAGTGGTACCTTGACTTACAAGTTTAATTCGTTCCATGACCGAGCTTGTAACTTAATTTGCTCGTATATTACATCAATTTTCCTCATTGAAATTAACTGAAATGCCATTAAACCGTTCCAGTCCCCCAAAAAACCACTCCAAATTTTTTTGTTACGGGTTTTACAATAAGAAAAATGTATTTTTTTTTTTTCAACAAACTGGTCCTATCCCACCAAGGCAGGGTGGTCAAAAAAGAAAAACGAAAGTTTCATTTTTTAAATTTAGTAATTTATACAAGAGAAGGGGTTACTAGCCCCTTGCCCCCGGCATTTTAGTCGCCTCTTACAACACGCATGGCTTACAGAGGAAGAATTCTGTTCCACTTCCCCATGGAGATAAGAGGAAATAAGAAAGAACTAGAAAGAAAATAGCAGAAAACCCAGAGGGGTGTGTATATACATGCTTGTATATGTATGTGTAGTGTGACCTAAGTGTAAGTAAAAGTAGCAAGACGTACCTGAAATATTGCATGTTTATGAGACAGAAAAAAGGACACCAGCAATCCTACCATCATGTAAAACCATTACAGGCTTTCGTTTTACACTCATTTGGCAGGACAGTAGTACCTCCCTGGGCGGTTGCTATTTACCAACCTACTACCTAAAAAAAATGTATTTATAAATAAGAAATATTGTATAAAACATAATAAAAAAGAATGTAAAGAAATAAACTGGCTTTATAAAGTGTATTTACCCTGGAGATCAGATGACTTGGGCTAACGGAAGATGCTGGTGGAGGTGGAGGGTGGAAAAGATAGGCAGAGGAGATTGGAAAAGATAGGCAGAGGAGTTTTCTTGGTGTTTCCTTACAATAAACTCACAGTCTCTCCTAGATTCCCAACATTTCTGGTGTTATAGCCTTTATCGACTCCTCCTACTTTAGTATGGTACATATAGTAGAAGTACTATGCTCATACTGCCTCGCCAAGTCGACTACACGCACACCTTGCTCGTGTTTTTCTATGATTTCTTGCTTTAATTCAATGGACATCATCCTTTTCCTCTTCTTAGCACTGTCCTTTGCACTTATTTTCTTAGGACCCATGGGTAGAAAATAGAAATTTGGCAAAATAACTGCAGAAAAAGCATAAAACACAAGCACAACACATGAGAGATGCTTCCACGATGAGGTAACCATGTGCACTGAACGAGTGAGATGCGGGATGCTGGGTGGATGTTGTGGCGTTCGCTGCACCAACTAGTGGCGGTGTATCTGAAGCTCACTTGTAACTCGGATTTTGGCTCACAACTCAAAGCTAAAAATCGACTGATCGACGGCTCATAACTTGGAAAACTCGTAAGTTGGGGCACTCGTAAGCCAAGGTACCACTATATACAGTATCTCATTCCAGGTCAAATACAGGTCAGGTTCTGGGCTACTGCTGTGAAGCAAAAATTGCTGTAAAGTGAAACATAGCCTTATTTTTAACTTTCAAATGTATATAATAGCTGGTAAAATGTTTACACAATCATATAGTAAGTGAGCAATAGAGCTAGGCTAAAAAACATGCATATGCAGTTCCCATATCACTTACCTGAAAATATTTTTGTACTTAGCTTATAGTGAGTGGTGAATATATTTATGTACTGTAGGGAAGTTTTTATTGCATTTATGGATTTAGAAAAGGCATATGATAGAGTAGATAGAGGAGCAATGTGGCAGATGTTGCAAGTATATGGAATAGGTGGTAAGTTATTAAATGCTGTAAAGAGTTTTTATGAGGATAGTGAGGCTCAGGTTAGGGTGTGTAGAAGAGAGGGAGAATACTTCCCGGTAAAAGTAGGTCTTAGACAGGGATGTGTAATGTCACCATGGTTGTTTAATATATTTATAGATGGGGTTGTAAAGGAAGTAAATGCTAGGGTGTTCGGGAGAGGGGTGGGATTAAATTTTGGGGAATCAAATTGAAAATGGGAATTGACACAGTTACTTTTTGCTGATGATACTGTGCTTATGGGAGATTCTAAAGAAAAATTGCAAAGGTTAGTGGATGAGTTTGGGAATGTGTGTAAAGGTAGAAAGTTGAAAGTGAACATAGAAAAGAGTAAGGAGATGAGGGTATCAAATAATTTAGATAAAGAAAAATTGGATATCAAATTGGGGAGGAGGAGTATGGAAGAAGTGAATGTTTTCAGATATACTTGGGAGTTGACGTGTGGGCGGATGGATTTATGAAGGATGAGGTTAATCATAGAATTGATGAGGGAAAAAAGGTGAGTGGTGCGTTGAGGTATATGTGGAGTCAAAAAACGTTATCTATGGAGGCAAAGAAGGGAATGTATGAAAGTATAGTAGTACCAACACTCTTATATGGGTGTGAAGCTTGGGTGGTAAATGCAGCAGCGAGGAGACGGTTGGAGGCAGTGGAGATGTCCTGTTTAAGGGCATGTGTGGTGTAAATATTATGCAGAAAATTCGGAGTGTGGAAATTAGGAAAAGGTGTGGAGTTAATAAAAGTATTAGTCAGAGGGCAGAAGAGGGGTTGTTGAGGTGGTTTGGTCATTTAGAGAGAATGGATCAAAGTAGAATGACATGGAAAGCATATAAATCTATAGGGGAAGGAAGGAGGGGTAGGGGTCATCCTTGAAAGGGTTGGAGAGAGGGGGTTTAAAAGGGGGTTTTGTGGGCAAAGGGGCTTGGACTTCCAGCAAGCGTGCGTGAGCGTGTTAGATAGGAGTGAATGGAGACGAATGGTACTTGGGACCTGACGATCTGTTGGAGTTTTGAGCAAGGTAATATTTAGTGAAGGGATTCAGGGAAACCTGTTATTTTCATATAGTCGGACTTGAGTCCTGGAAATGGGAAGTACAATGCCTGCACTTTAAAGGAGGGGTTTGGGATAGTGGCAGTTTGGAGGGATATGTTGTGTATCTTTATACGTATATGCTTCTAAACTGTTTTTATTCTGAGCACCTCTGCAAAAACAGTGATAATGTGTGAGTGGGGTAAAAGTGTTGAATGATGATGAAAGTATTTTTTTTTTGGGGATTTTCTTTTTTTTTTTGGGGTCCCCTGCCCGTGGGAGAGGGCCCGATTTGTTAAAAAAAAAAAAACGTGGGAAAAAGCCTGAAAAACGAAAACGGATAATTGAAAAGGCTTCATAATAAAATCGTACAGGTAACCTCCCGTAAACAGCAATTCCCCCCCAACAATAGTTATTTCCGAAATTTTCATTTTAAGTAAAAATCATGGATGTGAAGTGAAAACTTGCAAGAAAAATGGGATTCATTCTTCCTTAAATCTTTATTTAAACCTTTAAACTGTCCAAAGTAGATCATTTTTTTTTCAACATTTCAATGAAAAAAAAAGTAGACTTCTTTTTTTTTTTTTTTTTTAACATTTGAAACGTGGTAAAAAAACTGATCTACTTTTTTTTTGTTATATTTTTGGAAAATAGAAAAAAACGTAGATTTTATTTTGGAGCACTAGCACGATGTGACATAGTTTAAGTCTGTGGACAGTTTAAGGGTTAATAAGGCAAAGGAAGTCAAAGGCAAAGGCAAAGCAAGGCAAAGGCAAGGCAAAGCAAAGGCAAAGGCAAAGGCTAAGGCAAAGGCAAAGGCAAAGGCAAAGGCAAAGGCAAGCAGGGCAAGCAAGGCAAGGCAAGGCAGGCAGGCAAGGCAGCATGGCAAGAAGGCAAGGAAGGCAAGGCAAGGCAAGGCAAGAACAGGAAGGAAGGCAGGCAAGCAAGGCAAGGCAAGGCAAGGCAAGGCAAGGCAAGGCAGCAAGCAAGGCAAGGCAAGGCAAGGCAAGGCAAGGCAAGGCAAGGCAAGGCAAGGCAAGGCAAGGCAAGCAAGGCAAGGCAAGGCAAGGCATAAGCAAGGCAAGCAAGGCAAGGCAGCAAGGCCAGCAAGCAGAGGCAAGGCAAGCAAGGCAAGGCAAGCAAGGCAAGGCAAGGCAAGTCAGGGGCAAGGCAAGGCAAGGCAAGAAAGCAGGCAAGGCAATGCAAGGCAAGCAAGGCAAGGCAAAGGCAAGCAAGCAAAATTGGGCAAGGCACGCAAGGCAAGGCAAGGCAGGCAGGCAAGCAGAAGGCAAGGCAAGGCAAGGCAAGGCAAGGCAAGGCAAGGCAAGGCAAGGCAAGGCAAGGCAAAAAAAAAAAAAAAACTTAAAATTCAAAAGAAATACTATATTGCCTAAAATTCTGATTGCTGATTGTGATGTGTTAATATGGCTTTGTGCAATACCTATACAATCATATAGAGAGCAGTATCAAATTTTAAGTAAAAGATTGAAGATCTTCACAACTTGACAATCAACAAGTGCTGATATTTCAAGCTTATGTTCTAATACATCTTTATTAGTATGATTTGCAATTTTTTCAAAATTTATATACAAGTACAACTGTTCAAAATGCTGTGCACATTATGAGCTACATATATACTATATCACTAATAACTACATGGATATATTACTTTAACCCAGTGTAATATTTTGTATGAAGATCTTTGAATTACCTTAACTGTTGGATGACCAATTCCTGCTCTGTCTTTAACAGCACCCCTGGATCCTTCAGTTTGGTAGCGTGCACGGTGTTGCTCCTCTGGTTGCGACAAGAGTTTTAACTCCATTGTGCCATCAGAGGAGCAAGGCGACAGTTCAGAATTTAGAGGAAGATGGGTGTGTGGGGTGCTTGATTTTAATATCTTGTTACTATGGCCACATGGTTGTGGAGGTCCATCTACACACAGTAATGAGGCTCTACAGGTACCTCTACTCCGCCTGTAAAGGAGATCAGTTGCCAGTATCTGTTAATGGTTCCAGAAATCAGTGGTCCTATTGTGCAACCTCAGACCAGGCTTCCTAAATTGTCAGCTTCGTGCCATGTCTGATATATTGTTATTATAATCATACTTAAAATAATATTTTCATTAGTGTTTGTTTGTTGTTAATTTTTTAGTTGCTCAATATATTCATTAGGCTTACTATTACAATGTCAATTTTTTTTGATAACTAGTAGGTTTTATATACATATGCTTTATTTTCTTTGGTAACTTACACCTAAATAAATTCATTAGTACAATATTAGTTTGTTATTATGATCAAGTGATTTTACTAACTGATAAATATGTTTGAAAATAGAATAAATAGTTTTCAGTGGATGTACTGTTGGAGTGTGACCAAGGTACCTATTGAAGGGATTCATGGAAAGCAGCTAGCCAGACTCGAGACCTGGAGGTAGGAAGAGCAGTTAGATTAGGTTAGGTAAGTTTCGTCAGGAAACAGGACAAGTGTTTCCTGAAGTGGGTCTTAGTCACACAAAGACCTGCCACAGTGTCTGCACTCTGAAGGAGGTATGATGACATTGCAGTTGAAGGGTAATTCGATTTGTGAGGTCAGCACACTTCTGGCAAGACAGTGACTGAACTGATGATCTCCTGCCAGGCAGGGTCACCCTGCCCTGACAGAAGATGGCCATTGAAGTAAAAAAAAAATGTTATGTACAATATTATTGAGTATACTACATCTACTTTCTTTCTTCCAACAAACCGGCCGTATCCTACTAAGGCAGGGTAGCCCAAAAAGAAAAACGAAAATTTCTCTTTTTAAATTTAGTAATTTATACAGGAGAAGGGGTTACTAGCCCCTTGCTCCTGGCATTTTAGTCGCCTCTTACAACACGCATGGCTTACGGAGGAAGAATTCTGTTCCACTTCCCCATGGAGATAAGAGGAAATAAACAAGAACAAGAACTAGTTTAGTTGTAGCTACAGTTAGAGTAAGAGGTAGATGGGAAAAGAGGAAGGTGGCAACAACAAGTAAGAGGGAGGTGAAAGTGTATAAACTAAGGGAGGAGGAAGTTCGGGTGAGATATAAGCGACTATTGGCAGAAAGGTGGGCTAGTGCAAAGATGAGTAGTGGGGGGGTTGAACAGGGTTGGAATAGTTTTAAAAATGCAGTATTAAAGGGGGTATCTCCATCAGAGGTACACCTGTAGCTATTAGAAACCCTAACAAGATTTTGGGATATGAAATAGACAAGCTGCTCCATTCAACATCTCATGTAACTAAAAAGATCAACATAGCCAAAGCCGGTCTTAGCAGTCTCTTTCGATTCAATCAAGCCCCTCAACATGTCAAAAAACATCTGTATAAAATGATAATAAGACCTATACTCGAATATCCTTGTGTCCCAATGTCATTAACAACGAAGACCAACATGCTACGGTTACAAAGGGTCCAGAACAGAGCTCTTCGCTTCATTACCGATACCAGGAGGAGAGACAGAGTTAAAATGGCAGATTTACACGTGCAACAAGATATTACTGCCATAAATGTACGCCTTGACACCCTAAAAAAGAAACAACTCTATACAATGCAAGAACTATACATGCCAGATAGAGAACATCCTATACAAGTGGTAAATACCACGGATTATATCATCAATACTCCTCCTCACAGGACTCAAAGAATGACTCTCCCACAGAGGGTCTGTCGTTTTATCCATAAAGATGATTACCATTGACCCATGATATTGAGCAACCTCCCTGATGAAGAAGATTGGGTAACACCAGAACCCTTCTATGTATACTGAGAAAATCATCGCCCCCAACTAGGGAGACATCTTATATAACAATCTAATGTAAAAATTATGCTATTTACTATGGCTGGACACCACCTGTAAGAAGCCATTGTCACATAATTCTATAAACTGGCCAGAAAATTATTGCCTTCATTGTCGCATAAATATCCGTTGTGCAATCGCAAAAAAAAAAAAAAAAGCAATTGCAACTTGTATAATTACTACCAATTCAGAGTCATGTACTTATATATCTGTTATATCTATGTGACTCTGATGGGTTAGTATTATATCCCTTAAAGAATATCTTATCATTTCACATACACTTTTTAAATTACACCAAAGTGGTTGGGCCACTTACCTTTTATATCCTACCTCTCTCCCCCCTCCCACCCTTATCCAATATTTCTATCCTTACCCATCCTTCTTCCTTACCCATCTTACCAAAGCTCTGGTCATAAGAAGAAGTATTAGAATGTGGGGCAGAAGTTTGTGGTTATAGGAGGGTGGGGGCAGGAGGAAAGAGGAGTGATTGGTGGAATGATGAAGTAAAGGGTGTGATAAAAGAGAAAAAGGTAGCTTATGAGAGGTTTTTACAAAGCAGTAGTGTTATAAGAAGAGCAGAGTACAGTGGACCCCCGCTTAACCCTTTGACTGTTTCAGGCCCCTTTCTGAAACTGTCATTCTATGTCGCTCAATTTTTGAAAAAAAAAAAAAAAAAATTTCTTATGAAATGATAGAGAATCTTTTCCCGATGGTAATGACACCAAAAGTTCGAAATTTGGTTGAAAACTCATGGAATTATGCTCCCGCGAAGTTAGCGGTCTCGGCGACATATGCATATCGGCGATTTCGCCGACTTTGAGCCCTATTTTCAGCCAATTCCATTGTTCCAGTTGACCAAACTCATAGCTATTTCGTTAGAACTCCATTTTATCTATCAGCTGAGTACAAGAAACCTCCCATTTACTAATTTGGACTACCCAATATGGTGGTCAGAAATTGGCAATTTGGCCAATTTCACGCAAACTAAAAAAGATGCCAATTTCAAAATAGGGTCCAGAATAAACAAGGAGACATTCGTGGCACTAAAATAACATATGCTCTGTTCATTAGTCACATCTCTAGGCCCCTCTTATATTATTATTGCTTTCTATTTTGATTTTTTATTCATACAAAAAAATACAAAATTTACTGTTATGCAGACTACTGCATTATTGTAAAAATGGTATAAATAATATCAGTGCACTAGTGAAAGAATATTAGACTCTCCAGTTGACGTGTATTGGACGTGTGGTGTGATTTATTTACTCCTGAACATTGGTAAAAATTGAACATTTCCGCTATTTTGAGCTCAGTTTCAAGGTCGTTTTCATCTTCAAAGTAATGAAAATTATCTCTATTTCTGTAATATGTTTTCCATTTTACCACCTAAGACCATGAAAACGCGAATACAACGATAAATACTATATGAAAATACACCTCAAAGTCGGCGTTTTATTCCAAAAAAACGATCACAGTTTTTTTTTTCTCTATACGCAATGTGTGCTGCAGGATTTTTTTTGTGTGTTGCACACTGACCACACAGACCCATTCTCTCACATGTGGGCCTACTAGCTTTCTCCCGCTTGATTTGAAGCCGCTAGAATTATTGAGTATATATACGTCAGAAACATTGGCTCGTAAGACGTATTTATACGTCGAAAACAGTCAAAGGGTTAACGATCACCTCCCAATGCGACCAATTATGTAAGTGCCTTTATGTAAGTGCGTTTGTACGTGTATGTTTGGGGGTCTGAAATGGACTAATCTACTTCACAATATTCATTATGGGAACAAATTTGGTCAGTACTGGCACCTGAACATACTTCTGGAATGAAAAAATATCGTTAAACGGGGGTCCACTGTATATGGAGAGTAAAAGAAAGGTGAAGAGAGTGGTGAGAGAGTGCAAAAGGAGAGCAGATGATAGAGTGGGAGAGGCACTGTCAAGAAATTTTAATGAAAATAAGAAAAAATTTTGGAGTGAGTTAAACAAGTTAAGAAAGCCTAGGGAAAGTATGGATTTGTCAGTTAAAAACAGAGTAGGGGAGTTAGTAGATGGGGAGAGGGAGGTATTAGGTAGATGGCGAGAATATTTTGAGGAACTTTTAAATGTTGAGGAAGAAAGGGAGGCGGTAATTTCATGCACTGACCAGGGAGGTATACCATCTTTTAGGAGTGAAGAAGAGCAGAATGTAAGTGTGGTGGAGGTACGTGAGGCATTACGTAGAATGAAAGGGGGTAAAGCAGCTGGAACTGATGGGATCATGACAGAAATGTTAAAAGCAGGAGGGGATATAGTGTTGGAGTGGTTGGTACTTTTGTCTAATAAATGTATGAAAGAGAGGAAGGTACCTAGGGATTGGCAGAGAGCATGTATAGTCCCTTTATATAAAGGGAAAGGGGACAAAAGATTGTAAAAATTATAGAGGAATAAGTTTACTGAGTATACCAGGAAAAGTATACGGTAGGGTTATAACGGAAAGAATTAGAGGTAAGACAGAATGTAGGATTGCGGATGAGCAGGGAGGCTTCAGAGTGGGTAGGGGATGTGTAGATCAAGTGTTTACACTGAAGCATATATGTGAACAGTATTTAGATAAAGGTAGGGAAGTTTTTATTGCATTTATGGATTTAGAAAAGGCATATGATAGAGCGGATAGAGGAGCAATGTGGCAGATGTTGCAAGTATATGGAATAGGTGGTAAGTTACTAAATGCTGTAAAGAGCTTTTATGAGGATAGTGAGGCTCAGGTTAGGGTATGTAGAAGAGAGGGAGAATACTTCCCGGTAAAAGTAGGTCTTAGACAGGGATGTGTAATGTCACCATGGTTGTTTAATATATTTATAGATGGGGTTGTAAAAGAAGTAAATGCTAGGGTGTTCGGGAGAGGGGTGGGATTAAATTATGGGGAATCAAATTCAAAATGGGAATTGACACAGTTACTTTTTGCTGATGATACTGTGCTTATGGGAGATTCTAAAGAAAAATTGCAAAGGTTAGTGGATGAGTTTGAGAATGTGTGTAAAGGTAGAAAGTTGAAAGTGAACATAGAAAAGAGTAAGGTGATGAGGGCATCAAATGATTTAGATAAAGAAAAATTGGATATCAAATTGGGGAGAAGTATGGAAGGAGTGAATGTTTTCAGATACTTGGGAGTTGACGTGTCAGCGGATGGATTTATGAAGGATGAGGTTAATCATAGAATTGATGAGGGAAAAAAGGTGAGTGGTGCGTTGAGGTATATGTGGAGTCAAAAAACGTTATCTATGGAGGCAAAGAAGGGAATGTATGAAAGTATAGTAGTACCAACACTCTTATATGGATGTGAAGCTTGGGTGGTAAATGCAGCAGTGAGGAGACGGTTGGAGGCAGTGGAGATGTCCTGTCTAAGGGCAATGTGTGGTGTAAATATTATGCAGAAAATTCAGAGTGTGGAAATTAGGAGAAGGTGTGGAGTTAATAAAAGCATTAGTCAGAGGGCAGAAGAGGGGTTGTTGAGGTGGTTTGGTCATTTAGAGAGAATGGATCAAAGTAAAATGATATGGAAAGCATATAAATCTATAGGGGAAGGAAGGAGGGGTAGGGGTCGTCCTCGAAAGAGTTGGAAAGAGGGGGTAAAGGAGGTTTTGTGGGCGAGGGGCTTGGACTTCCAGCAAGCGTGCATGAGCGTGTTAGATAGGAGTGAATGGAGACGAATGATACTTGGGACCTGACGATCTGTTGGAGTGTGAGCAGGGTAATATTTAGTGAAGGGATTCAGGAAAACCGGTTATTTTCATATAGTCGGACTTGAGTCCTGAAAATGGGAAGTACAATGCCTGCACTTTAAAGGAGGGGTTTGGGATATTGGCAGTTTGGAGGGATATGTTGTGTATCTTTATATGTGTATGCTTCTAGACTGTTGTATTCTGAGCACCTCTGCAAAAACAGTGATAATGTGCGAGTGTGGTGAAAGTGTTGAATGACGATGAAAGTATTTTTCTTTTTGGGGATTTTCTTTCTTTTTTGGGTCACCTTGCCTCGGTGGGAGACAGCCGACTTGTTGAAGAAAAAAAAAAAAAACTCGAAAGAAAATAGAAGAAAACCCAGAGGGTGTATATATATATGCTTGTAAATGTATGTGTAGAGACGTACCTGAAATCTTGCATGTTTATGAAACAGACAAAAGACACCAGCAATCCTACCATCATGTAAAACAATTACAGGCTTTCATTTTACACTCACTTGGCAGAACGGTAGTGCCTCCCTGGGCAGTTGCTGTCTACCAACCTACTACCTATAAGAGTGTACTACATGTATGTATACATTAATTGGCTTTAGTGGGAGTATAAGAAGCAATTTTTTCTATACATGTGTGTTGGAAGTATTGTAAATAAAACTCTTAACCTAAACCTGTAAAATTCATGTAAATAACAAAAAAGAAAAAATAAAGGAAAAAAAAATAGGACAGAGAAAAAGAAAAATAGAAACTTAGTCATAATTATTTATTCAATTGTTGTCTTGTCAGAAGCTTGCTGACATCCCAGTCGAGGTGAACCGCTGAATCAAATCACCACCACCACCCCTCCTTTCGGGTGTAGGCACTATTTCCCACCTCAATGACTCTGTCCAGCTAACCATTTTACCCTGAAACCCTTCATGTTACCTCGCTCACACTCCAACAGTGTTCTGAGTTATAAAATCCATCTGCCACCACACACTGATCTAACACAATCACATAAAC